CTCACATTCATGATGAATTTGTCCGGGGGAAGGAAGGAAGATTGAAAAAAAAAAAGCACAGAATGAAGAAGGAAATTGCGGAGTGGGCAGAAACACTGCTGCTCAGTTTCCTGTAGAGGAAGTGTGTGTGTGTGTGTGTCTGTGTGAGATGAGCTTCTGTCTCTGTTAACCCTTCAGAATTTTCTCTCTCTCTCTCACACACACACACACACACACACACACACACACACACATCAGTCGTGCTGGAAAGCGGCGATTCGATCGCTGTCAGGAAACACAGACGCCTCCAGCCAAGAGGGCTTCTGGGAAGTTCTTGTCATTTTCCCCCTCCTTCATCTCTCAATAGCTGAAGCCTGATGCAGGTGAGGCTTTCAGAAACACACACACACACACACACACACACACACACACACACACACACACACACACACACACACACACTTTATCAACATCTACTGCTCTTCTCACAGTCTGACAGCAGAAATCCTGGGAAAGTAAACTGTGATGACTCTCTGGTTTCCTAAATGTCTTCAAGCAGACATCGCTGAATCCTGCATTTTTGTTTGTGCGTTTCTGGTTGTGCATTTTTAATTGTGCATATTTATTTGTGTGTTTTTATTCATGCGTTTAATTTGTGCGTTTGTATTTGTGAGTTTTTTTCACACATTTTTATTCATGCACTTTTTTTGTACATTTTTGTTTGGGCATTTTGTTTACTCATTTTATTCATGCACTTTGTGCGTTTGTTCGCGCATTTTTGTTTGCATATTTTATTTGCACGTTTTTATTTGTGCGTTTAATTTGTGCATTTTTATTTGTGCGTTTGTTCGCAGATTTTTATTCGCACATTTTATTAGCGTGTTTTTATTTGTGCGTTTAATTTGTGCATTTTTATTTGTGCGTTTGTTCGCAGATTTTTACTGGCACATTTTATTTGCGTGTTTTTATTTGTGTGTTTATTTTGTGTATTTTTATTTGTGCGTTTGTTCACATATTTTATTCGCACATTTTATTTGCGTGTTTTTATTTGTGTGTTTAATTTGTGCATTTTTATTTGTGCGTTTGTTCGCATATTTTTACTCGCACATTTTATTTGCGTGTTTTTATTTGTGCGTTTAATTTGTGCATTTTTATTTGTGCGTTTGTTCGCATATTTTTACTCGCACATTTTATTTGCGTGTTTTTATTTGTGTGTTTAATTTGTGCATTTTTATTTGTGCGTTTGTTCGCAGATTTTTATTGGCACATTTTATTTGCGCGTTTTTATTTGTGTGTTTAATTTGTACATTTTTGTTTGTGCGTTTGTTCCCAAATTATCATCCGCACATTTTATATGCGTGTTTTTATTTGTGCATTTAATTTTTGCATTTTGTTCACACATTTTTATTCATGCAGTTTGTTTGTGCATTTGTTCACATATTTTTATTTGTGCATTGTATTTTTGCATTTGTGTTTTTTTATTTTTGCTTAAATGCTTAAATGATGAATAATAAATGATGAATAAGATATATGTATTTATTATTCAACATATGTATTTACTATTCAAAATTTGATGTAATCTCAACTGAAACATATAGAGAGGGCGGGGTGTAGAGTAGCTCCTCCTCTTTATAGAAAAACAGCCAATAGTGCACTGTTTTGCTCACAGCTCTGACAGTAAAAGTGGTTGAGCTCAAGTGCATCAAATGAACAGCCAATTAAAAGAGGGGGGCGGGGCATGTCAGACACTAGCGAGCATTACACCCCATTCACACAGGGCGTCAGCATCAACGCTTCCCATTCACTTTGAATGTCCTTGTCGCTGGCCTGTTGTTGGCGCTGTGATTATGCAGAAATGCGAGACATTCCCAGTCAACACAAAACACTTCTCACTCGCCATTACTTAATGTTGAAGAGTTTTATACAGAATGTTGATGAACAGATCAGCTCATCCTGCTCCACACACACACACACTCACACACACACACACACACACACACACACACTTGTTTTTCTTAAATCACAGCATTCAGAAGTAGGAAATAGTCAAATGCCGGGTTTATGAGTAACGTGAACTGCTCAGACTGGAGCCGGATCCTGTTGGAGAGCCCAGAGACACGCCCACCCACCCACACACACACACACACACACACACACACACACACACACACACACAGTTCCGTCCCAAAGACAGCACACACACACACCTCAAACACACGGTTAAACATTGATTGGCTGCTGAGAGCTGCAGATCAGCAAACACAACACCCTGATCTCTGAGAGAGAGAGAGACACGCTCAGACCCGCCGCACAACCACACACACACCATAAATACAACACACACACACACACACACACACAATATACACATGCATACACACCATATATACAACATACACTCAAGCACGCACCATATACACATGCACACAGACAAGCGCAGAGGGTGTGTATGTATATCTGTGTGCATGTGCGTGTGTGTCTGTGTGTGCATGTGCGCTAGTGTGTGTGTGTTTGTGTGTGTGTGTTCATACACACTGCAGCAGAAGGCTGGTCTCAGTATGTCTCAGCTTGAGTGTTTCACTGACGTCAAACTGCAAACCAGCACCTGTGCAGGTATGAGTGTGAGTGTGTGTGTGTGTGTGTGTGTGTGTGTGTGTGTTGTCAGACAGAGTGTTTTTGTGCATGTGTGTGTGCATAAGTGTTATACATGTATATGTGTTTATGAGTGTGATGTTTGTGCAAGTGTGTGTGTGCATGCATTTCTGTGTGTGTGTTCATAATTGTTTATGTGTGTGTGTGTGTGTATGCCTGTGCAAATGTATGCATTTGTGCTTGTCTGTGTACATAAGTGTGTGAACGTTTATGTATGCATGTATACGTGTATGTGTGTATGCATGTGTGAGTATGCATGTGTGTGTGCACATGGGCGTGTGTATATGTGTGCGAATAAGAGCACTAGGGTGTGTGCGCGCATGTGCATGTATGTGTGTGTGTGTGCATGTATTTATATCTTTGTGTGCGTGTTAGAATGTGCGTGTATGTATGTGTGCTTGTGTGTATGTGTGTGTGTATGAATCTGTGTATGTGTGTGTGTGTGTGGGCATGTATGGATTTCTGTGTGTTTGCATAATTCTTTATTTGTCTGTGTGTGAATAAGTGTGTGTCTGTGTGTGCGTGTGTATGTCTGTGTACATAATTGTGTGAACGTTTATGTATGCTGTATATGTGTGTAAACAAGTGTTGTAGTGTGTGTGTGTGTGTGTGTGTGTGTGTGTGTGTGAGACTCACGCAGGTGTGCAGGCAGTCTGCTGGTCTCCTCTTCTGTTCTGGCAGTGTTGGGTGCGAGCGGCACATGGCCGGGAGAGGAAGTGGAGTTTGGCAGTGGACTGGCGGACGGGCTGAACGCGCTCCTCTCCTGCTGAACACACACACACACACACACACAGACAGAGAGCTATACATCATCACACACTCAATCAGACCCAATGCAAACAGCAACACAAACTCATCGAGTCCTCACAATGAAGACACTGACCCTGCACACAGGTCAGAGGTCACGCAGAGGTCACCTACACTGAGGAACATCCACAGTTCTCTCTATGAGGATTCCAGTAGAGCAGCACACTATATCCCCGCTTCAGCACCGATATGTCCATCTATAATGTTGAGTTCTGCATTAAAATGATCCAAGATTAGGGCTGAAGCACATATGATCTCTCGCAGTGTGTGTATCAGCAATAGTCACATCGCAGAATTAGATTATTTATTAAAGATTATAGATATTATTATATTTAAATAACTTATGCAAATGATGACTGTGTGATTTACAGTAATTTCTGTGTTTGAATACTGTTAGACTCTCCAGAAACCATAAAGCACTGTGTATTTATTTAGTATTGCTTGAAATTTGTTATAATTTATGCAGATGCACTGCAAAGAAAAACTGAAATCTTTCCAAATACAGCTATTAAAGGAACATCAGATGACATTTTATTCAAAAATAAAAATAAACTAAAAAATTATATATATATATATATATATATATATATATATATATATATATATA